TTAGCACCCAGTTTGTAATCCACTATGCTACCAGGACTCCTTTGTTAGCTAGTGCCGCTATCATTGAAATATCACTAATGGGTGGCTTTAACAAACAGAAATTTTATTTTATCACAGTTTAGGAGGCCAGAAGTCTGAATTCAGGACTCCAGCTCTAGGGGAAATTGTTCTGTATCTATTGACTCTAAGATGTTCTCTGTCTATTGTTGTCTATCTATTGGTTCTACAGTGGCTCTAAGGAACCAGGAAACATAAACTGATTTCCATTTGCCTTCGCATCAATCTTTCCCCATTCTCTACATATCTAATCTGCTCCTGTTATCTGTTATAATAGATTGATTCAAAACACACCCTATACCAATCTTGCTTCAGTAACATAAAGTAAATTCATTCCTAAATGGGATCATAACCACAGGCATAAAGATGAGAATTTACAACACATATTTTGGGGGAACTTAAATCACAACACCACATAATTAAAGAACAGATAACCTGTGAAGTATCTATATAAACTTGTGAATTAATATGCCAAACACATTTTACAGATAAAGTCTGCATTGAATATTCAAATTTTGCCAAAAAAATATATTTATTACCACAGATTATTAAATTACTGCGGGAAAGGACAGTCTTTCCATTTTGCACTTCTATTGTCTTGCACACTGCCTATTTGTTGAATGAAATATGAATAAATATTATAAAACAGATAGCCTTTTATAACACATCTACCTGCAGATGTGAGTTTGTTTGCTTTTAAACAGGTATTAGAGCAATTTCCTCTTCTGACTCCTTCAATTCTAATCCAAAATTTAGCAAACCCTCTTGATTATAAAATGTTTGAAACACAAGATTTTCTGTCACATGGCACTCAAATTATCTTTTAAAGAATTTTATTGCATTTGTGATAATCAGATCAGCAATTTATGCAGTTGATGTTGTGTGTCATCATGTCAGTTTCAACTCATAGCGATCTTGTATAGTTTCCCAGGCTGTAATCTTTCTCCCATTAAGTGGCTGGTGGATTCGAACTGCTGACTTTGCATAACCCACGACATGTAACTCACTACATCAGCAGAACTCCTTTTATAAGAGCTAAAGGAGCTCTGGTAGCGTAGTGGTTACGAATAGAGCTTCTAATCTCATGGTCAGCAGTTGGAAACTACCAGCTGTTCCATGAGAGAAAGATAGGCTTTCTGCTCCCATAAAGATTTACGGCCTTGGAACCGACTCCACAGCACATAACAACAACAACAACAATGTCTCTAAAGTCATCTGATAGAGTTGTCAAAAAGTAAAGATTTCTCTAGGTATGCGAGTGTGTGTCTGCTTGTAGCTCAGTTCTTCAATCTGCCAGAGACATTCTCACATGGTGAATATTTTAAAAACACACTTACCATTTGTTACTGTTGTTGTTAAGGACCTGTAAAGTTGGTTCCGACTCATAGCGGCCCTGGATAGTGTTTCCAAGGAAAGGCTGCTGAACTTGAATCTTGCGCTTCAAACCAACCTCGCATTTTAGCGCATTAACCCATAGCGCCACACCAAGACTCCATTTGTTGTTGTTACTGAGTGTCATTGAATCAGTGTGGACTTATAGTGACCCCGCATAGGGATTCCGAGGAGCAGCTGGTGAGGTTGAACCGCCTATCTTGTGGTTCAAACCGACCTTGTATTCTGGCTCATTAACCCACAGCGCCACACTAGAACTCTAGGACTCCATTTAGAGTCCAGCAAAAGATTGTAATCTCATTCTAACCTCGCCAGAAAACCCTGTTTTTTGAAAACCTTTCCATCTACAGTCCAAGAAGACATTCCTTTATTGTGATTTATGCTATAAAACTTTAAAAAATAATAAAAATTATATTCTGTTATTTCTCTGCATCTTGTTCAATCAGTATTAAAGAGAATAATTTATAACCATAAATTCATACTCTTTTAGAGTATTGATTTAGTACATTTCCCTATTGATTAGCATTACTCTTAATACTCTATACTACTAGACATTTCATATATGTATGTTTGTGAACATGGATTGAAGAGTATTCCCCAAAATATGTGTCAACTTGGTAGGGCCATGATTCTCAATGGCTTTACAATTCAATAGCAATATAATCTGGTAGTTTTGTAGTGATATAATCACTCCTCCATGATCAGTCAACCAGTTGTAAGGAGATTAAAGTAGGAGGCAACATCTTTACTTAGATCATAGCTTTGATGTCATGTAAGAGGAGTTACCTGGTTCACAGGTTGTATCACCTTTACCTTATGAGAGATTTTTTTTAAAAAATAGAGAAAAATCGGCAGAGAAAGAGGGACTTCAGTAATACTGAAAAAGAGAAAAACGAAGCATGTTCTTTGGATCCAGGTTCCTATGCTGAGTACCTCCTAAATTCAAGGGAAGATTTATGTCAACACACATCAAGAACTTCAAGGAACACTAGGCTGAAAGATGTAGAAAGGATACAAAGATCCCCTTCCAGAACCAACACAGAAAGAAGGCCTTCTCCTAGAGCTGGCACCCTGAATTCAGATGTCTAGCCTCCTAAACTGTGAAATAATACATTTCTGTTTGTTAAAGCCACCCATTCCATTAGTGGTGTTTCTGTCATGGCAGCAATGATAACCAAGAGATTACCTTATAAAAAAACAAGATAACCAAAAGATTACCTTAAAAAAAAAAAATCCTCACCACTGGACCAATAAACAACATTCTTATCAACGGAGAAAAGATTGAAGTTGTCAAGGACTTCATTCTTCTTGGATCAACTATCAACACTCATGGAAGCAGCAGTCAACAGATTGAAGGACATATTGCATTAGGCAAATCTTCTGACAAGACCTTTTTAAAGTGTTGAAGAGCAAAGATGTTAGCTTGAGGACTAAGGTGCACCTGACCCAAGCCATGGTATTTTCAATAACCTCATATGCATGTGAAAGCTGGACAGTGAATAAGGAACACTGTAGAAAAATTGATGTCTTTGAGTCATGCTGCTGCAGGAGAATACTAAAGGTGCCATGGGCTGCCAAAAGAACCAATATATTCGTTTTGGAAGAAGCGCAGCCAGAGTGCTCCTTACAGGCCAAGATGGCCAAACTTCATCTCTCATATTTTGGACATATTGTCAGGAGGGACCAGTCACTGGAGAAGGATATTATGTGTGGTAAAGTGGAGGGTCAGAGAAAAAGAGGAAGACCCCCAACAAGATGGATTGACCAAGTGGCAGCATCAATGGACTCAAGCATGGCAACAATAGTGAAGTTGTCCCAGGATCAGGCAGTATTTCATTCTGCTGTGCATAAGATCACTGTGGGTCGGTACCAACTCGATGGCACCTAACAACAACAAACCTTAAATTTACAGAGGAATTGATAGATTTCTTTCTAGCCTTAAACTTAAAGAGGTATTGCTAGATTTCTTAAGTGCCTAGCATTTCTCTACAATATTAATCTTATAGTCTGATCTAGATCATGATCTAGAATAATCACCACTGAAATTGATAAGAATTCTGTACGTGCCAGTTCAGCGTCTTTTGAGCTCAGATGGATTCACTCAGTGGCTATGGCAATGTGTTCAATCATAGCAATGATTGTGAGGATGGCACAGACTCAGGCAGTGTTTTGTCCTGTTGTATGAGGCTAATACTAGTACTAGTACCAGTTTAAACATGCATGGCTTTACTTTAAACAAAATGTGTTTAAACATGTTTTGGCAATCAGTAGATGGCTTCATAAAAGTTTTTTTCAGGAATACATTTAGGGTACCTTAAAAAGGAAAAGAAAAAAAGTATAATTAAAACAGTGGCTTCTGAGGGAATCTATTGGATCAGTTAAAATCAAGGCAGAAAATCAGCTCAGAAGAATACGTTGACTATTTTTTTGGAGTTCCAAAAGGACAGTCTTGATAGATCTTCTCTAAAGGATTAAGATGATAGTAAGGGCTTATTCTGAAGAAATGTAAAGAAAATAGAAAATTGCATTGGTGAGAAAGGGCCAAAAAATTATGTCAAATAATTTTTTTGCCAACATGAAAATGCTCCTGCTCAGCCTTTGAAGCTAACAAGGGCTATCCTAGGAGAATTTCGTTTGAACTTGATATAAATTGAGACCTCAGAATTATTTGGGAAAGATTAGAAAGGTGAACCACCACCTTCAGACACGTGTAGACCTAGAAAGAGGCTATGTCAAGAAGAAATAACTTCATGTTTTGACATTTTTAAAATAAAGTTCCTATAATATTGTAAAACCACTTCTTGATTTACCCTCATATAGACGGTTGTTGCACGTCGGAACTGAGTCAACAGTTGCTAACCTTAGCAACCACTGCCACATCTTTTCTCTCAGGCAGCCACTAAGTGTATTGAACAGCGGACCTTTTGTTTATCCACCAAGCACTTAACCACTGGACCACAAGGGCTTCTTGAAAGCAAGATAATATCTCACATTTTCCAGGGTTATCTGAGAAACATGACTCATTTTAAACTTACCTTGGGATGCAGTCATTGGAGTACCTGTATGTTTCACCTGAAAGATATTTGAAATAGACAATTAGAAGAAATTCATTAAATATTTTTTCTACAATGTGTTCTGATGGGAGCTTAGTCTCACTTAATTAATTAGTTAATATCTGTGAACAAGCCACTCTAGCCAGGGCTGACCGATCTAGAGATAAAGACCATCTCTGCACTGGACTACAAGGTCAATTTGAACTGCTAGGTCAGCAGTTCAAGCTCACCAACTGCTCCTCAGAAAGCCTATACAGAGTTGCTATGGGTCAGAACCAACTGGATGGCGCTTAACAACAACAAATAATAATTTGGCTCATTCAAATTTTCAGCTTGGATGTGATGTAGATAGATAAAGCTAGGATGTGTGGCAATGTTATGAAATGGAAACACTAAACAGAGAACGTTGGGACCTCCATTCCTGCCTTCTCTTTGGTTCCTGATCCTGCCCACTATGGATCATGGTCATACTGTCTACTTTAGAGATCCATGAAGTACCTTTGCATCCTTTTCTTAAATTGTCCTCTACCTATGCCATTTTGAATACAGTTTTCTTCCTTACAACAAAAAATCCTAAGAAATGTTTTTCTTCATTTTCCTCTTTTATTTCTCTCTCTTTTTAATGTCTGTTAATATCTCTTGGCAGGTGAGCAACAACATAGAAATTATGTTAAGGAAGGTGCAATGGTCATTATTCCCTTTCATGGTGCATGTAGTGGTCAGGAGAAATGAGGAGACTAGGGAGAAGAATCCTGGAAAAAGCTGGGAATTCAATATCGGCAAATAATCAAAATAGTAGAATAGCTTATAAAAGAAACAGTATTCTTTGATCTGAAGGGACAAAATTGACTAGAGAAATGATGTAGTATACTAAAATGTATGTGAACCAACTGATGAATCTTGAAGGGTGTGTCTAAAGCAAATAGAAGGGGATATTTTTATATATATTTATGGAATCCTGGTATGATAAACATTGGACTGATAACCAGAAGGTTGGTGATTCAAACCCACCAACTGCTCCTAGGCAACCCTATATAGGGTCATACTGATACTATGAGTCAGAACCAACTCAACAGCATTTAACAACATATATGTGTATGCATATTCGAGTCCTGGTTTGGCACTGTAAGATATGCACTGGACTGCTAACCACAAGGTTGGCAGTTCAAACCTACCAGACACTCCTTGAAAACCCTATACAGGGGTGCTATGAGTCATAACTGACTCGATAACAAAAATATATCAATAGTATATATATATGTGTGTATGGAGCTCTGGTAGCGTAGTGGTTACGAATCGGGCTGCAAACCTTAAGGTCAGTGGTTCGAAACTACCAGCTGCTCCGCGGGAGAAAGATGAGGCTTTCTACTCCCGTAAGGATTTACACCCTCGGAAACCCTGTACAGGGTCGCTATGGATCGGGACCGACTCGAAGGCACTTCACAATGTATATTTAAAAGAGTTTTGAAATTTTAGTTTCCAGATATCTCTTTAGTGAAAGGTGATGGAATCATCATTAATTATTGAGGGAAATTAAGAAATAGTCACGTCTAGTACTAGTACCAGTTTAAACATGCATAGCTTTACTTTAAACAAAATGTGTTTAAACATGTCTTGGCAATCAGTAGATGGCTTCATAGAAGTTTTTTCAGGAATACACTTAGGGTACCTCAAAAAGCAAAAGAAAAAAAAGTATAATCCAAACAGTCACGTTTAATTTTGATAAATAAGGATCAGCGTTATTAAGAAATTGGTATTATCTGTTCATCCATAAATTTTCTATGATGTTGAACTGGATGGACACATATATTATGGCACTTAATATGTTTTAATTGTTTATTACTTAACTTGGCATTAAATAATAGCTAAAACCATGTAAAAACTATTCAAATATAAATGAAGACCTGTAATATTGAAGCCTATCACAGTGACCCAGGGACAATAGTAACCATATAATGACCTTTCACGTTGTATATGAAAAACACAGTGTATTTATAAAGAATTAACAATAATATATTTTAAATAGCTGAATGGATCAGCAAATAATTACAAAGGTTATCCTTGTTTAGATTTTGTTAGACAGTAGAGTAATTCTCCAGAGAGGTCATTAACTGTTGTTAGAGAAGTATTATTGAAGCACGTTATAAAAATCATCACATTAAGTGACTGGAGTGGACATGTCACTTGTCAATGTGTTTTTAAAAATACAATGAATGATCAAACACAGGAAGTTTTTCGGGACATATACACCAAGCTGCTATGGGAACAAAAGTAATGAATCTAACTCTTTGTGGATAAGTCAGAAATACACTTCTCCTAATCCACAGAAAGTATCTTATCAAAAACTGGGTATAAAAGTTGTGGTTATTTCCAACCACCTTTAGATTTGTCTTGGGAATACTTGTATGGATGCATACGAAGACTGGAAGAAATCTAAAGAGTTTTAAAAAGTGTTACACACTAGCCACAAGTTAATGGAAACCCAGAAAAATCAGAAATTCTGAGTAATATAAATAATATCAATAGGCATTAAAAGAAAAGTTAGTTAATACAGAATAGGAAATTATAAACTGGGGAAAATAAAATATTTAGGACATATTTATACTTGGGTCATCAGTCAGTTTTCATATTTGCTGAAATTAAAGTATATGCACAAGAATTCATCTTGGTAAGCCCTAGAACAACATAGGGTTAAGAATCAGAATACTTTTCATTTGGTACTAGCTTTGCAATGCATTTTCTGTGTGACAATATGCAAATCATCTAAAAATTCTGCTTCTCAGTTTGTCCATAAAGTACGGCTAATAATGCCTTCCTCATGGAGTAGATGTTGACATTAAATAAGACAATTTCCACTAAAACATTTTATATAATGACAAAATTATCAGTATATGCCTTCTAAATTCAAAACATATAAGAAGCCATGATTTGATGTGCAGATTTGAGTTGGAAAGTTTCTTCATTAAGTGAGTTAATGAAAATTCACTGACATAATTAAGATGCTATTTTAAAGGTAAAAGAATTATAAATGGAATATGATTTAGACTGAAATTACCAAATATCACTTTTAACAAGAGGATTGTCACCAGCTGAGCAATTCTTTGAAATAAAAGATAAAAATACACTGACAAAAAAATTAAAACAAAAGTAAGAAGAGGTTACTTAATAAGAACAAGAAAAACCAGGTGTGAATTGAAAGTATTTCCCCACAGAAATTAAAATTTTTTAAAGATAATATGGATTTTTTTTTTGTTTGTAATTGAGTATTAATGTTGGTAACTGGTAATTAATTCTAATGTAATGTGTAAACAGAATAACTCAATGGCACCTAACAACAAGAATAATACAGAAGAAAAGTATAATTGTATATTTTACTGGTGGGCAAAAGCAAAAAATAAGCTAGACAAAAATTTTGTGGAAAATAGAGAATAGAAGTAAATATATAAAAGATACAATGTACAATGTGAAATTTAAATGGGAAGAAGGAGGACTCAAATAATAAAGAAAATATCAAGAGTGAGGACACTGGTGGTTCATTGGTAAAATTCTTGTCTTCTGTGCAGAAGACCGGGGTTCAATTTATACAGAGAGCCACCATCTGTCAGTGCAGCCTTACGTATTGCTCTGATACCAAACTGGTTCCAAAAAGCTTCCAGACTAATAGGGACTAAAAAGAAAGTCCTGGTGATCTCATTCCCAAAACCAGTTAATGAAAACCCTATGGATCAAAATGTCATTGTACGTAGGAAGCCCATAAGTCAGGGTCAACTCAATGGCAGCTAACAACAGTGAGTAAAGGACAATGTATATCAATCATTTTAAAGAAGCATCCTGAAAGCAGACTTTAAAGCTTCATAGACATTCTATGGTACACTTAGAATTTAAATTTGTCATCTGGAGCTAGACGATCAGTATTTGGGTAGCTCCTAGGAAACCAACTCAATGACAATCACAACAACAATTTTACAACTGGAGTTCTGGTGTGGCACTGTAGTATAAGCACTGGACTACCAGCAATTCCTCATAAGCCCTAAACAGAGTCACTATGGGTTGGAACTGACTCGATGATACTTAACAACAATAACAAAAACAACAACTTTATAATCTTTACTATAAGAAGTTGAGTAGAATATGATCTCTTTAGATGGAGCATCATAATAAAATAAATAAAGAAAGAAAAGATTACAGATAAGGAGAAAGGTCAGAAAGCTCTGATTCCTGATAAAAGCTGGCTTGGTCATGAGGGTTTATGAAAGTAAATCAAGAAGTATTGCTACAAAATCATAGAACACTTTATTTTAAAATATACATAAAAATATGAAGCTATAGTTTCTCCATAGTCCTCTGTATAAGTCTATACATAATTGAAGTTGGTGTTTCTATCTCTATATCCTTTCTGTGAAGAATCCTGCCTCTATGATTTACACCCCTCCAAATGGCAGTTTTTGAGATGTTTGAAGAGCTCATATTGTGTGTTTCTTTTAGATGTCCTTTGAGTTTGGAGAGTTAAAAGAAGTCTGAAGGGGTAAGGTCCAGGTTGTAGGGTGAACAGGGAAGGTTTCCTAACAAAATCATGTGGGACAGCCCTTGCTATCCTCAAAGAATGAATAAGTGCATTGTCGTGATGGGGGAAAAATTGTTTGTTTTTTTTTCAAGCACAGTTTTCCTGGCCTTTTTCTCACCAATCTTATTTTCAATTTTCTTAAAACTTCTTCACATAAGCACTCATGCTCATCCTGTGAAACAGTCCTCTGAAAAAGTCTATCAAGATTTCCCCTTTGGAATTCCAAAACACAGGTATCATAACCTTCTAAGCTGACCTCTCTGTCATGTTCATCTATGAGGTCTCCCTGACCTTCCTTAAAATGCTTGATCCATCTCAAACCTTTTTTTATATGGGGCTATATTCATATAAATGTGGTGCAAAGCTTCAGCAGTTTATGAAGATGTCCACTTGAGTTTTGCTAAAAATTGGATATTAACCCTGACCTTAAAATAGCTTTTTCCATGGCACAAAATGTATCTTTTTTTTTTTTCTGTTGTTGTTAAGTGCCAGTAAGTCAATTCTGACTCATAGAAAGGGTTCGGGGTGTAGGGTTTCCGAGGCTGCAAATCTTTGCAAGAATAGAAAGTCTCATCTCTGTTTTGCAGAGTGGCTGGTGTGCTTGAACCACCAACCTTGTTGTTCAAAGTCCAGTGCTTATCCTGAGGGAACTTGTCTGCAGTCATCCACTGATTGCAGACACATGTTTAAACACATTTTGTTTTGAATAAACCTGGGCATGTATGAACTGCTATTCATAAGATTTTAGATGGCCAAATATTCAAAAGCAGTCTGCCTCTCCTTCCTAGTCTGTATTTGTCTGGACTGGAACGCTAGTAGAAATATATATATATTTTTTTACTTACTCTTATACTTATCACATTTTCCAATGTAGAAATTACAAAGAATTATATTGGCATCTCACAGTCTTTAAAAACTAAAATTTAATATTAGTAACTATAATATTAAAAAGTTTACTTCAAACTGCTAAATAAACTTGTGGTATCTTGAATTTACTGGATATGGCTTTTCAATCCAATGTCTTAGTTCCCAGCAAGTGATTGGGATTGTTGTTGTTGTTAAGTGCTGTTGAGTCAACTCTGACTCATAGAACTCTACAGCTAGAATTGGTTAGTTTTGTCATTCAGCTAGGCTAAAAAGGAGCCATCTCAGAAGCAGAAATTGAAGATTCCAAGACTACCAAGAAGGAAAAGCATGATTACAGCATGAGATCTCTACCTAGAAAAATGACAACAGCAGAGGCGATACCAGAGGCAATGGAAGAGGCAATGGAAGAGGTGGCGGCATAGAAAATCAGAGCTGCTGTGGGCCCATGGACTGACGCAGGGGCCAAGGGGCCACATGGCTGAGAGACCGAGATAAGAGTGAGGCATGCCTGCAGTATGACAGATAAGAGGCTCTCCTGACTGGAGAACTGTTATGTCCTGAGTTGGTTTTGATCCTGAATTATACCCATAAACCCCATAATCATGAGTATTATTATGAGTTCTGTGTGACCACTGGAATAGAGTATCAAACTCAGATGTGAAGAAAAGATTACTAGGAGAGGGATGGTTGATGTCAGAACTGGGTAAAAAAAGGTTGTAGGGTGGAAGCATATCTAACTTTCACTTTAGGGGAAGTCAGACATGGCTCGTATGTGTTTTTGTGAAACTCTAAAACTAAAATAGAGACATGAGCATGTTTTGAGTAATTCAATTTTCTGTTCTATTTATGTAGGAGGTTGGGCTCTCCAGAAAAGAGCCTAAAAAGGGAGTAAGCTTGTAACCAACATCTATAGAAGTAAAAGAAATAAAGGCAGTAACTCCAAACAGCACTAAGGGCCACCACATCTTCTGAACTGAAGGTCCCGAGGCTTCTGTTGAGACTGCACTGCACCTTGAGTTCTTGGCATCTCCACCTGTCTGCTTCTCGTTCTTCCCTGGCCTAAACTATTTGATGGAATCTGTGGAAATGGTGTTGTTGCTGGAAAGGAGATTTTCTTTTGCTAGCAAATGTTTATTTAAAAATAAATTAATTGAT